ACAGGAGGGGAGGGGCAAGGGGAGTTGTTAGTGTCATTTGAGGAAGAAGAGAGGTTATTGGGAGAATCTGGTTGGGGGACATAGGTAGGAGAGGAAGGTTCATTTGATGGTGGAGGTAAGTTGGGTGGAATGTTGGTGAAAATATCAGGTGAATCAAGGGAAGGAGGGTCAGGAGTAGGGATTATTGGATTAGGTGCAGGTGGGGTGGATGCAAAAGGGAGCACAGTTTCATAAAAGAATATATTCCTTAAAATGTAAAATTCATGTGTGATAGGATCATAGAGAAGGTAGCCTTTTGTGCCTTCCCTGTAGCCAAGAAAAATAGATTTTCTTGCTCTTGGTTCGAATTTAGTGCGATGGTTAAGCAAGGTCGAAGAGTAGGCAAGACAACCAAAGACTCTCATATGGTTAAGATTGGGAGGAGTAGAGTGGAGTTTTTGGTAAGGAGAGTGGTTGTTTAAAAGAGGAGTGGGAAGACGGTTTATAATATGAATGGCCTGTTGTATGGAGAGGTGCCAAAGGTTGTGAGGGAGGTGAGAGTGGAAAGAGAGGGCACGGGCAACATTCAAAATATGCTGATGTTTTCTTTCCACGATATCGTTCTGTTGAGGCGTTTCCACACAAGACCTTTGATGAATGATTCCTTTCGAAAGGTAGAAAGTGGTCATGAGAAACTCAGGGCCATTATCACTTCGAATGCACTTGAGTTTCTTGTTAAATTGGGTTTCGATAAAGGATATGAAGTGAATTAAATGGTTTCTGGTTTCACTTTTGTTGGCCATAAAAATTGTCCAAGTAAACCTGCTGTAATCGTCTACGAGGGTTAAAAAATACTTGTGGCCACATATGGAAGGTGTGGAAAGAGGGGCCCAAATATCAACATGAAGTAAATCGAAGATGGCAACAAACTTAGTATTACTGTGAGTAAAAGACAATTGTTTTTGCTTAGCCAAATGTCAAGTATTACAGGACTTATGATTGTCATTGTAGGTGACAAAAGGAAATTGAGAGGAAATACATTTGTGTATGTAGGGACTTAAGTGTCCAAGCCTAAGATGCCAAATAGTAGCAGGATCCTGTTTAGCAGGTTCTAATTGGGGAAAAGAGGAGGTGTTGACAGAGCCAGATGTGGGAGAGATGGCCTTAGGTGGGGTGGCATCAAGAACATACAATTTGCCAATCCTCTTAGCTGTAAATCCAGTCATCTTGGATAGGGGCAACTGCATAATTTGACAGCAATTAGGAGAAAATTTCACATCATATAAAGTGGAGTCAAAAAGAGTGGTGACAGAGATAATATTGACATGAAATGAAGGAAAGTAATAAACATTGTCAAGGACAAGTGAACCACATAGTAAAACTGAACCAGCAATATTTGTAGTGACAGAGTCACCATTAGGCATTGTCATGGATTTAGGTGCAATGTGGTATGTGGAAAGGAAACTGGCAAAGGTATGGGTGATGTGATCAGTGGCACCTGTGTCAATGATCCACCAGTTATGAGAAGGAAGATTCGAGGAATTCTTACCAGAGGAATTATGAGGAGAGGTATGGGACACAGAATTAGCAGTATAAACTGAATTAATCGAGGGAAGTGAAGGAGATTGCAAATTAGATTGTTGGAGGAGCTGCAGAATCTGAGTGTATTGTTCTTGAATCATAGACAAATCATTTAGACTGGTGTTTGATGTGGAAGCAGCATCTTGAATCGAGTTCACTGTAGAATCAGCAGCCTTCCCCACAGATGTAGTAGGCTTGCGTTGTTGAAATCCAGGGGGATAACCATGTTTCAAGAAGCAAGTCTCAATGGTGTGATTGGTGCGGTTGCAATGAGTACAGAGTCGGTTTCCACGGCCACCACGGCCACGACCACGACCAGGGTTGTGAGAAGAACGAGAAGGTGCTTGAGAAAGGTGATTCACAGACGATTGAGACTCAATCGAAGAATCAGAAGGAAAAAGAAGGTCGAATTGACGTTCTTGTTGAAGAACCAGATTAAACACATTATCAAGAGTTGGTAGTGGTTTCATCAGCATAATTTGCGAGCGAACATGAGCGTATTGGTCACCAAGACCCTTCAAGAACTTGATAATTTTATCTTGTTCTTTGAATTTTCGTAAGTCTGAAGCAGCACCACAGGAGCACGGTATAGCGCAAGTACAATCACGAATTGGCCGGAAGTTCTCAATTTCTTCCCAAAGCGTCATCAATTTTGTGAAGAACGAAGAGACATCGAGAGTTCCTTGTTGAAGACGAGCAACACTTTCTTGAATGTCAGCAATGCGAAAAATATCTCCCTGAGAAAAACGATTTTCCAAACTTTTCCATACAAGAGAAGCACGATCATACCATAGAAGAGATTTTGCAATTTCCTCAGAAATCGAGCGTTGAAGCCATGAGAGGACGAGATTGTTGCATCGCAGCCAAGGTTCGTATAGAGAGTCGGAGGTAGGGGAGGAGAAAGAGTGCCATCAACGAATTTGATCTTGTTCTTGGAGATAAGAGCTACTTTCATTGATCTAGACCAGATCTGGTAGTTCTTGGTATCAAGAACAGGTTGAACAAGAACAAGAGAGGGATTCTCATTAGGGTGCATGTAGTAAGGATTGAAAGGGTTGGTAGCAAAATCAGAGTAAGGAAGTGCCATAACAAGCTGAAGCAGCAAGGGAAGAAGGAGGCGCGAAGAAGAAAGGCGCAGAAAAGGGAATTCAAACTGATACCATGTTAATTTTGGAATAAACTGATTGTATTATCATTGTGTTTTGGAATGTACAAAACAGTATTATATATGTTGTTAAAGTAACAAACTGTTTAGTAACAAACTAAACAGAATTGTAACAAACTGTAACAAACTAAACTAACTGTTTAGTAACAAACTAAACTAACTGTTTAGTAACAAACTAAACAGTATTATTTTCATCATGTAATGCTTTCAATGTTTATTTCATGTGATTCTGCCCTAGCATTTGTTTCATATCTATTTGTTCTGTTGTTTTCAGGATGAATTTCGTTCTATAGCTTTCTAACATCTATTGTAGGTTTATATTTATGTCGTTTTAGTTTTTTAATGTTTGTTCAAGTTGAAAGCTATGTTCTTTGAGTAAAATGTGATTATATGTTTTTTTTGTAAGATTACACTTCTATTTCAGATTTGAGTTCATTAAAGTATTGGTATGTTGTAGGTTAATGAAAGTTATGGTATTTGCATATTGGTATGTTGTATTGGTGGCTTAACTCTCTTTATAGGTTGTTTTTATTTTCCTTTGTGTTCTTCCAGAGGCATTGTGATAATCATTTACAGGCTTAATGATCATAGCTAATATATTAACATTAGATCTGTATTTATATCTTTTTAATTAGTCACACTGCCTTCCTCTTTGAATCTTTTTGTTTCAATATGGGCCATGCTTGAAAAATAATTTGTAGGTGGAGATGGCGAAGGTTTATATGAAAGTAATGAGGCCTTGGATCACTAGAAAAGTGACTGAGCTTTTTGGGTTTGAAGATGAAGTGTTTATCAACTTCATACACGATCTTCTAGATGTGAAGGTAATTTATTTTTGAATTATTTTGGTTTCCTTATGACACTTGCACTCTGGATTCTACATGTTTGTTGCAATTGTTCATCACTTGATATGAATTTGATTGCATCACATGACTGAGGCACTTTGGTGTTACACATTCATTTTTTTTTTCAATTAGCTGAGTACATATTTATATCACTATTTCCAGTTCAACTATTGTGATTGTTGAATAATAATGTATTTTTCTTTTTTTTTTTGCATTATGCATTGTTCATTCAAATAGCTTTCCCAAGATTCACTTATGTGATTTGACTAATTGGTTTGACCGTGGAATGTTTTTTGGAAATCAATTTGATTGTATATTTATTTTAAGCAAATTTGATTGCAACTGATTTTTCAATAGTTGGGTAACTTGATTCTATTGTTGATGTTTGTAATTACTGAGAATGTGTGATTGTTTGTTGCAGTTGGTGATTTGAACCACTTGATCTCAACAACTATGAGTGGAGTGACTTGTTGTTATACCATTGTAATGATGATATGTAATGGCAATGATTTATTCTATTGCATGTTTAATCTATAGAATGCTAAAGTGAACTTGGTTGTTTCAGGTGCAGGCACAAGATACAATGGTAGGACAAGCAGTTAGATGGATTATTCATGATTCTTTTCTGGTGTATGGAATTGGACACAATTGTGATGAATCTTCATGGATTTGAGGCTACAAGTGTCTGAGACAACCCTCATCGAAGTAGTTGATAAATGAGAAACCAATATATGATTAGTTAAAAAAATTTAGTAACTTTCAAATTATTTTGAAATGAGAAACCAGAGTGCTTCTTCTTCCCCTTATAAGAGTTTATAAATTTTTTAACATAAGAGGCAAAGCAATTATTTAAAAAAAGTAAAGAAAAAAAGACTAATTGTTTTATTTGCATAGAACACCATATGATGTCTAATTAGTGGGTGTCCAATTGATAAAAATATATGATTCTCAAATATAACAATCGTCTTTATTTGACTCACAAAATTTCTATTATTTTCATGGGTCACTATCATCAAAATATATATTTTGTTTTGATTAACAATTGTTTTTATTTGAGAAACAATTATTTTATAATTAAATAACTCATTTCAAATATATATATATATATATATATATATCATTTTTTTGTAAGCAAGATATTATAGAAAGGAGTACAGAGGGTACTCGAACCTGATTACAAAAGCACGAGATAAAACTCGAGAAAGGGGAAATTACATAACTGATTGCACCTTAAGACAAGTAAAACAAAGAACAATTGTTAAACTCATAAAAGATACAATTGAAAAAAGTAATTCCTCCGCAAAATCACTACCTCCTAACCAGAAACTTAACCTACCGATCAATAACCAAAAAGCTTCTCCCAACAATCTAAATCGATCAAAACACCCGACAGAGCAAACTCTGCCTCTAATAAAAAAATGATATGATGATCATTTTAACAATTTCAGATTCACCGTCATTCCCACCCTTTTGGCTTTATCAGATTTCTCCATTTCATCGATTATCTTCTTGTAATCCTTTAAAGAGTCCCCACCAAGATTAGAAATCACCTTCCATAACTTTTCACCCATATTTGAATCGAGATTCTTTGCATTCACCTTTACTCCGCCTGAAAACCTATCCTCTGAACCAATTGAGTTAGAAGAATGTTGTTTCTGAACTACAACCTGCCTATGATCATCCGTTTTATTAGCACAAACCAATGATGATACTGCCACCGGCTCTTCCCTGTTGATTTCAAGATTTGTTTGATGTAATTCCACCAATTGCAACATTCTCTTTTTTCCCCACTTCCGCTTAATGGATAAAGGACCTGTTATATCATAAATTGATTTCATCTTGGGCCATCTATTAACCACACCAAACTTCTTCCGAACCGAGATATTTGGTTTAAAGAATGTGTCAACAGAGGAATCTTCTACTTTAGCGGAACTGCATGATATTCCGGAAATTGAGTAATGGGATCACAAGAAATTAGAGTTGGAGCAGTTGTAGTAAATTCCTCCGCTGTCGCACTAGCTTCATAAAAAATACTCAGGCCCTTCTGCATACCAGACTTGAAGTGGAAGGCAAAATCAGATTCCACATTCCTAGATTCATGCCGGATACCAGAGTCAAAAAATTTCGCCTCATACTATTTTTCCAAATCTTCCAAATTACCTTTATTATCATCACTAAAAACAAATTCCTCCACCAAAGATTCATTAAACTTCGCCTCCCCATTAACATTGTTGCCTTTATTCCAATCAACCTCAGAATCCGAAGATGAACTGATCATTTCAACTTTCTTCTTCGTTGAATTAAAGGAAATCTTCAAAGGACCGTGAGTGTCTTCTGTCAATCTAACCTTGAATAATTTCCCATATATCTCTACTTCAACAGTAACATTCAAAGAGAGAAACCCAGTTGTCCTCACTAATATCCTAGCAATATCCATATTCTCCGCCTTCATCGTGTTTTCGTCACAACAAATGAACGAGATAATCGAATTATCCAACCAAACAAAAAACTCAGAATTCCATACGTGGCAAGGTACCCCATAAACTCTAATCCATATAGCTCTCTCATTATCAACATCCTCCTCCTTCCATTCATTAATTTCTGAGAACCACTGAGACCACAAACTCTTTCCCTCTGTAATGAGATCACTGATAACACCGTCTCCGACTTCCTATAATAAATACAAATTAGCCCCGAGAGGCATAAATTTGATTTGAAAATAGCCTTCAATCTCGAAATAGTTTTGAATGTTGTAAGCCATACCTGGGAACAACCTTCCCCACATAAGCTTTCTTCAATCTGAAAACTGATTCTGGATCCAGATGAAAACTAAGTTTCATGCTCTCCTTCACCATTAAATCTACCGCTATGGCCTCTGTATTATTCACCACATCCAGAAAAGACCTAGGGCCCCTCAAACCCCCAAATTTTGTTGCTTTCGCCTTTCCTTTGCCATGTAGTTCCTGTTTGAAAACCCTAGTTTTATCGAACCATCCTTCAATACCCAAAGTTGGAGATTTCCTACCAAATCGAGGCTGATTTGCGTGAATCTTCTTCCCGTCTATGATGACATTGTCAAGTTTAACTGAAAATAATCTCTCTTCCTCTATCTCCATGAATCTCGCAAATCCAAAACGTTTGCCAAACTTGTTCCTCTTGGGCAGAATCATCACCTCCATGATTTCACTGATGCAACCAAATAATTCAAACACATCCACAACTCTGATTCTGTCTGGGATTTCCGAGAAGAAAAAAAGAATGACCTTCCCTCCCAGAAACCCTCTTCACCGAAGAGCTAACATCCCACATAGAAGCCATCTTCCTCAAACCTCTACCACAGACCGGATGCCAATCCATCGGAAACTAACAGTAGATAAGCTAAACCCCCAAAGGAGATCTAGAGAGAAGGGTCTCTCTCTTCATTTTTATATATATCATATTATTATTTTTTCACGGGTCACACTATCAAGACAATATTTTTTTTTAATAATATCTTTATTTATAAATATTATTTTTTTCTCCATCTCATAATTCTTTTTCTTCTTCTTTTGGTACGATTATTTAATATAATTAAATCTATATGAATATTGTTTATTTTACAAATAAGTAAATCATTTTAAATTTTATATTTATATCTAAAATTTTACATTTGTATTTGTTAAGAAAAAATTTCTTTGATTATTTGATATTTATATTTTATATTTATGTTCTGTTTATATATGATTATTTAATATAATTAATTTTCTATAATTAATATTTATTTATAATTAAATCATTCATTTCAAATTTACATATGTTTAAATATATTGCATACAATATCAAAATAAATTCACTCGTGCGGTAAAGATATAATATATTTTCATCTCTTTTTGAAGGAGGACATGACCATATATAGCAAGTTGAAAAATCCCTTTTCTTACAAAAATTAAGATATCTAATATGATAATAGAGAAAAAAAACACAAATAAAAAATGGAAGGATTTAGTATTCAACTTCATAATTTTTATTAGCCTATAAGTAAAGTTTAAAATGAAAATACCAATATCTCATGGTAAACGAAGGTGCGAAGTGCTCCTCCTTCCACGGTAACTCTTTCAAGCCTAAAATATTTGACAGAATCAAGATATGAAATGGATACACAACGTTGATTCAGATTGTCACATTCAGAGCCATACTATTGGACGTAGAGTCCAAAAATGCATATATCTACTCCATTAATCTTTTGAAACAGAAATATTACCTGAAACTAATGGAACTTTTATTAAATCTCTTGTACATATATTTATTTCTTCATTGATAAATTACTGAACTTACTCTTGATCTATAAGAGAATTCAGTCGGGTAATTCTTTTCTGGGATGATGTCAAGAAACGACTTCTTCACTATCAGCTTCTCGGACCCTAGTGTGATCTTGTTGTGACTGAGTTGATATGAGATGATAGAGGAATTTTATGGGCAAAAATTGGGGTACAACAACTGCCCTTATTTAAGTGTCTTCTATCCGGAGATACAAAGGTTAAAATCTCTGTGTTGACGCGATTGAAGATACTTAAATATAAAACAAGCCTTATTTTTTGTCCTAAGATACCATGCAATTCTTATGATTATGAATGCAAATGAATGGCTTCAAAGGTGACATAGAACACCACTGGGGAAGCAAGAAATAAAAACAAAGATCAAAAGAAAACTCGACCAGGAAAATGAATCACTGGTGAATAAAAGACTCCACTCTATTGGGGTAAGGCCCAAGGAGGAGATAAAGTAACATTCACTCAAGTATTGAGGAGAGAAATAAGGGATGATAATGATCGACAGATGACTGTAAACTATCCATTCATTGAGAAGATAACAAAAAAGTAATGTCGATCTACAGTGGGCAAGAAATGGTAGGATAATACCAGCAAATACCAATATTAAGGTAGACAACAAATAATCAGCATCAATACTTACGACTGGAAACAAATGAATTCTTAAAAGCAAAATGAATCTCAACGATGAACTATCTCCCATAATGATGAAATTACCATTCATCATAGTAAACAAATCTCAACAACGAACTATCTCTCATAATGACGAGACTACCATCCATTGGAGTAACAAATATCAACAACGAACTATCTCCCATAATGACAAGACTACCATCCGTTGGAGTAAAAAATATCATCAACGAACTATCTCCCATAATGACGAGACTACCATCCATTGGAGTAAACATCTCAACAACGAACTATCTCCCATAATAACGAGACTACCATCCATCGGAGTAAACATCTCAATAACGAACTATCTCCCATAATGAAGAGACTACCATTCATCGGAGTAAACAAATCTCAACAACAAACTATCTCCCATAATGACGAGACTACCATCCATCAGAGTAAACATATCAATAATGAACTATCTCCCATAATGACGAGACTACCATCCATCGGAGTAAACAAATCTCAACAACGAACTATCTCCCATAATGACGAGACTACCATTCATTGGAATAAACAAATCTCAACAATGAGCTATGTCCCATAATGACGAGACTACCATTCATCGAAGTAACAAAATGAATCTTCTCTGGGAACTAACAGACTTACTAGGGAAGAACAGGTTGCTCAAATAAAGAGATAGCCACTTGCTACCATGAGAAGGGAATACAATAATGCTGCTGGGAAATGAATCTTGGCTTCTCTAGGGATATGCCAACACAGTCTTGCTAAGGAGATAAAGTCTTCTTATGCAAAATAAATACACATTCTAAAACTAGGGCTTAGAGCCTACAGAAATCATAATAATAATATTGTCGGGGACCACGGGTTCAAACCAGAAATAAATCGGAGTGAAATAGTCAACCAAGATAGCACCTGATGAGAAATAAACTCAAAAGGGAAACACAGACCTAACCAAACAATGAGCTAAATAGGAAGGCTTGAAGAAAAATTATTCCACGAGGGGTAACTCAGTGGGGAAATTGGAAAGAATATACACTTTCTGCTTAAGGTCGACACTCTGTTGGAGAGAGGGTAACATAACTCTGCAAAATAGGGTAATATGTTAACAAAATATTAATGGATGCAGATGAGCAATGGATTTTGATTCAACTATGCATGATGTATGTATGAATGTACGAATGCTATCATGTATACACTAACAAAATAGACACACAACACTGGGAATAACCAGACAAAACCAGCTTGAGTAAAGTCAACACTCATCTAAATTACATCCAGGATGAAAATTTCATAAGAAAGTAAGCACCAATTGAGGAAACAAATTCCTATTTCACGGCTTAACTCCTCTGGAAAGAAACATAATCCGAAAATAATCAAGTCAAAATAGTGAATCAAAACAGATACAGGGATATAACATCCTTCTCCGGTCTTCACCGGGGGATGTCACACAGACTTCAATGGGGAAAACAATGTCTCAATGTTTAGATTTCCACTGGAGATTACAATATTGACTTCATTAGGGCAGATGGAAACCACATCGTCGAGATATCAACTGGGGATCTCGTGCTGACTTCATTGGGGAGGACAATACCACATTGTCGAGGGGAGCCCAAAACACATTTTTAAATACCAAGAGCGATGATTACACAAACTTCCATAGGGAGAAGTTATGAAACCACATGGGGATAACAACTTTCAGAGAGAGACGTTATCTCAGCTTTACTTGGAGATTCAAGAAGTCAAACAATACAGCAAAAAATTAAAATTGTGGGGATTTTAAATCAAACCCAGCGCTTGGCGGGAGAAAACCCAAAAAAAAAATACACTTGTTTCAACACTTCTTATAAAAGATATTGCCCTTGTCTAGTTGCCAAACAACAACAATAATTTCAACACTGCAAAAGGGCGATGTTTTGCAAATGATTCCACCTTATCACACAAAAGGAGAAGGAACTTCTGTCATATGAATGAAGAACTCACTAGGGAATCTAAGATAGAGGTTTCAAACCATGCAAACTCGAAATCAAAATAATCAACCTGGAGGAAAACAAATGAACCAAGACTTGACTGGGGAAAATGGGATCACAAACCCAACACCACACCATACATTAATTGGTATCATCTCCAACTATATGAGAAACACAAGAAGATCATACGCATATCAGCGAAAGTAATCTGAAAGAACTTTCCTGGGGAACATATACTTCCAAAGTTTCAGAGTTCGTCCATCATCGGAATCACTATTTTTTTTTCTTGAGTCACAAAATCTAAAGTAAAAAGCCATTCATAAATTCTTTTCAAAAACAATTTTATTATTAGATATCTTTGTTTTGAAAATTACTATCAATAATAAATGGAGTCTTTGTAAGAATAATAAAATGAGAATTGCAAAGAATTGGATAAAAGCTCAAACTTTATTAATAGAATAGTAGTATGCGAATGGCGAGACTCCACAGATGATTACAAAATTTGGAAAATTGTAATACATTGGAAAAGATACATTGAGATACAATGACCATTATTCTCCCTAACAACTTTGAATTCCTGAGCAGCGACTTCTGTTGAAGTAGGGCGAGAGTCCAAGAAGATTGTTGCTTCAATGATCAAGTCTTGTCTGACGTAGTTACTTGCCAAGAAATCCCTAACTTTTGCCTAGGTTGCCCTTGCGGGTTTTCAACCTAGCGGGAAAATTTATTCTGCTTATGTATCTTATTTTTGCCTAGACCGCCCTTTTGGGTTTTCAGCCTACCGAGACGCTCTTTTTTGCCTAAGTCGCCCTTTCTGGTTTTCGACTTAGCGAGTTGTTCTTTTATTTCTTTAGGCAAGGTATTTCTTGACTGCATCGGCATTTATAGGACGTGGGAACTCCTCGCCATTCATAGTTTCAAGAATCAATGCACCGCCAGAGAAGGCTTTCTTGGAAACATATAGGCCTTCAAAATTGGGAGTCCACTTGCCCCTAGAATCAGCGTTGAAAGACATGATCTTCCTGAGCACGAGGTCGCCTTCTCTGAATTCACGAGGCTTGACCTTCTTATCAAAAGCTTTCTTCATTCGCTTTTGGTATAACTGGCCATGACACGAGACCGTCATTGTCTTCTATTCAATCAAATTCAACTAGTCAAACTTGTTCTGGACCCATTCAGCCTCTGACAACTTGGTTTCCATCATCACACGTAAAGAGGGAATCTCAACCTCAACGGAGAGCACTGCTTCCATACCATACACAAGAGAGA